CATCCCAACATTCACTGTGTCACATAGAAGGAAAAAGGTAAGGTAATGTGAAAGCTAAGTTTCATTTATTGCATAGAAATATATATTGATAAACTAAYTTTGTAACTTGTCAGCTACAGGAAACAAAGCTGAGGCTGTGATGACTTTGGACTCTGATTCTCATATCAGCCACTGAAAAGTTTAAATTTTTTTCAATGTAATTTCTTGTTGTTGYTATCATGAGAGTTACCTGTTTCCACTCTATTTGTTTCCAGTCACTCCTCGCTYTCTGAAATTCAGTTTAGAGGTTGAAAAGGAATGCCTCTCCAGACTCCCACAACACATGCCTTACAGTAAATGCTAAATTTAATCTGAGCTGTTATTACAGATATCACTGAGGTTTTCTGTTGCTTGTCATCTCTCAGGATCAGAAACCAACTTGCCWTTACAGATCTTTGTTGTGTGCTTGGAGAGCAATTGCACACTCCAGACATGGCTCTGGGAAATCTCTGTCACTGCTTGAGTTGAGAGTGTGTGTGCAGATGGTCACCTGGGCTGTGAGATGCTTCTAAACCCTCTATTTGCTTCTATTGATTAAAATATTTTTTTTCTGCTCTGGGTGCAGAGAAGGCCCGAAAAATTTCAAGTTTTATGAATATAGATCTTCTGTGAATGTTTAATGAAATTTCAATTAAAGCAAGCTAAACACTGAAGTTGGAGAGACGGCTGATGCATGCACCTTCTGGAGTTACATTTGTATGTTTTCCCCAGTGAAGACTGTCAGGTAACAAGGCAGAGCTGTAGCATTTTTCAAAGTTTTTTATAGCTAATAACAGATCAGACCATTACTTCCATTTGGCATCCAGAGGATAGCACAGAATATTATGGATGACACTGAGGAAATTGCCATCTTCCTCTAGAAATTGCTTGTGTCAAGTTTATGAAGAATGTCACCTATTTCTGCAGTATGAAAAATAAAGGAGGGTGGTGGGAAATGGCACTGAGCCTGGAGCTGTGTGCCAGGGGCTGAGATGCCAGCCCAGCCTGTGCTGATGGACACAGCAGTGCTCCCTTCCCAGGTGCTGATCTGCCAGGGAGGGACCAGGCTGGGCCTCCCAGCACCTGCAATTGGTAAATATTATCAGATTAATTTCACYTCAGTGGCTGAACTGATGAGGCACAGAAACACGTGGTAAATCTCATAAATTTCATAKTGTTAGTACAGGTATGGATGAGGAGGCACGGGGCTTGTGCTGCTCCTGCCTCTCTTTCCTGCTCTGGGAATGAGTGGAAGCCTTTTTTGCTTCTTTGGAACTGTTTTATTTTGACACACTCACAAGATTCTCTGAAAATTGTTTCTGGTTTGCACAGAACTTGAAAGGAGCAGGTGCYRATGTTTGTTTTTGGGGAGACAYWGTCAGTRMCTTYAGGGGTTTTGGTTCAGGTCCTCGGYGAGGTGTGTGCTTGGCAGCAGSACTCAGAGTCAGCATGTGCCWSTCACCGTGCCAGGTCCTGAAATGMAAGGCCAGATCAGGAGCACAAAMAYCTATTTTATCATGTCTTCCTTAATGGTGTCAAAACCAGCTCCAATTTTAATTTAATTGAAGTAATATATATGAGTGAAATGTATTGATCATCTTTTTGATCATAGTCAGTTGGCTGTCCTTTGCTATCTGTAGTATCTGGAGGGTCTAAATCAAAAATAAGTCCATGCTTGGCAAAACTCTCCTTTTTTCCTCTAGCAGTAAATTCCCAAAGATTAATTCTGCTGATTGTCCACATGCAGGAAGGAAAAAACCCAACTCCTCCATCCTTCCCTTTTCTCTTTTATTTTTTTTTTCAGATGATAACTCTATAAATGCACGTGCTTGGGTACTCCTCAGAGTGATACTGTCAGCAGACACTCCTCAAACAGGTTCAGCTTCCCAAAGGAGCTGGCCCTTTAACAATTGTCTGTGTCTTTGGCTTTATTGACTCACTGACTGGGACAGGAACCATAAATGCAGCATCAGGCCATGGATTATGCCCTAATGAAGGGTCAGGCATATATTTTCCATGGCAGCCTGCAGAGTCATCTGGGTCTCTGAGGAGGTTTCATGTTGTCTTCATAATAGATTCTGGCTTTGTTCAGTTTTCTGACCGTCCTCAGATTTTTATTTGGAGAAAGGGCTCGCATGATATGATCCCTTAAGCCATGTTGTGAATTCCTGCCCCWTGGGATGCCTCGAGCCTCAACGTTTGCGTCCTCTGGTGACGGAGGTTGCTGCCACAAAAGGCTCTCTAGGAGACAGGGACCTTGAGAAAAAAAATCTGGCATCAACAGCTATGTTGTGACCTTTTCATTGTTGGAGTGCCTGGCTGTTGCTTTGCTTTATTGGCCTGAATGTTTTCCAGAGGGGGAATATGGAAGGTGGTAGCAACAGCATGAGGATTATTCTTAAATKTTATAGCCTTGTTTGGGATGGGTGCAAAGAGGGCAAGAGGTGACTGCTGAAAGCATAAGAGATGTCTAAGCAAAATTTGAGGAAAATTCTCTGAAGTTTGGGGGGAAAAATTATTCTGAAAGGAAGAGAGATACATCAAAAAAGAAATAGCTAGTAAGCTTAACTAAAAAAATAAGTTACTTCAAATTAGGCAARCATTTTGCTGTGATCAATGGCTTTACAATATAATTTTCAACAAATACGATTTTGAAACACAAAACTAAAAGCTCCAATTTTCAGTTTTCTAGGTGTTCTTTTTAGGGAAAAAATAGAGTTTCTGCAGGGTACAGCTTGAGAAAGCTGACTTAGGGCATCAGCAAGAAAGTGGCACATGTTTTTCAGGTGTTTATTCCCCAGTGCCTTGCTATCCCTCCTCTTCATTTCTGTAGAAGGCTCAGGAATTCCTTGCAGGCCTTTTTAAAATTAATCTGTTTTTTAAGAACCACGGGCTAACAGAGTGAGAAGAGATGTTGTCATCAGCGAGCCAAAGCAAACATAGCTGCAAAGAGATTTCGTCAATAATTGTGCAGAATTATGCAATTTGCTCATCTTCCAGTTAAACTGCTGGGGGGGTTGCACAAATTTATGGATGTACCTGTGTTGCTGTTGGGTGCTCTAGTTCATCTTGGTAATTTTGTGCAGAGCTTCACCTGCATGTGAGGGTTTGGAGCAAATAAAGGATTTTATTTGCAGCTGACAGRAGAGTTGGTCTGGCCGGCTCTGCTGGGAGCTATGGGGTGTCTGTGCCCCTGGATGTGCCTCTGTGTCCAGGTGAGGGGTGACACAGGTGACAGGAGGCAGCAGCACAGGCTTTAGGTGTCAAAAGAGGGTTTCATGGGCAGAGAGAGAGATTTCTCCTTGTATTAAGACAATTTTTACTGACCCAAGAATGTGAGGCACTTGCTCACCAGTCTGTGAAAGTCCTGTGTGAAAACGTGCTGCTAAAACTTCACACATCGTCTTTAATTTTTCAACCCCCACATTTCCAGAGTTGGGAGTGTAAATATCACATGGAGCTGAGAAAGTTGTGAAGTAAATATTCCCTGAAGTTAACTAGAAAACCCAGAGACTTGCTCTGGGCTGGCTTTAGCCTGCAGTTGATCTGCTCTTGTTGCCTGCTCGGTAATTTGTCGGGAACAGGGAAGAAGAATTCAGACTTGGCAAGCTGGTGYTGCAGACAGATTTTGTCAGATGAAATCCCAGTAGACGTTAGTGCAACATCAACAGCTCCTGAGCTATCACATGGGAATGCACAGGGAGATAAAACCAACATCCTAAAAGGGAGGATCCTCTATTTTAAGGTGCGGAGAAGGGAATCTGGCTAATGTAATTTTTTTTTTCCTTTCTTTCCATAGTCGTTCAGAGAAATAATGGAAAATGCTGGTTCCAAACACAGATATAATTCTGTCTTTTCTCGAATTCTCCATGACATCTAAAGTTGCTTAACATCTCTTTCTTTTCCTATATGTGAAGAGAAGTTAATCCTATCTGCCTTTACCTCAGAGGGATTGTGAGGGCAGAGTTTGGAAAAGAATTTGCTGTCTGTGCAAAGAATCCACAAGTGACTGCAGGGGAAAAAAAGCCCAGACCTACCATTGGGAAACTCCAGCACCAGCCTCCTGCTTTCTGGAAGTGGAGTGTTCTGTTACATAAACATCCTTGAAGCTTTGCAGAAGGGGTGACATTCACATGTGGGGCCTGACTAATTGGGCTTTGTGTGTGAAGAAYGGGGATGGAGAGGATAAGGAAATGAAATCCCTAAGGTGCAAGCTGGGCCTCCTTCTTCCCATGGCCTGGGCTGTTGCTTACGTGTTGGAAAGGGGTCTCAGAGCCTCCTGTGCCACGGAGCTGATGACTGGGAACTCTGTGGGCTCTGTGACCTGGGCTGCATCCTCATTGCCCTCCCCAGCAGGCTGGGAGTGTGCTGCTCAGCCCAGCAGGCACTCTGAGAGCATCCCTCTGCCCAGGAGATGGTGATGAACATCCCTCTGTGTAAATCACYATCAGCTCAGTGGGTCTGGCCTCTCTTGGGGCACAGCATCACAAAGGCAGCGTTAATTCTCGGCTGTTTCTGCAGGGGCAGGAGGGGCTGTGCCCTTCAGGAGCTCCAGCTCGGTCCCTGCAGGAGTCTGCCCTCTCCCWCTGATTATGGGGTGAACCCAGATCCCAGAGCTGCTGTTTTGAAGGCCAAAGTGAGGTGGCACCAGCCCCCCTCCATCCAAAACTTACCCAAGACTGAGGCACCACTCCCCCCAGCCCCACACCTTGCAGCAGAGTGGAGACTGCAGCAGGAGCTGAAAAGTGACCCCTTTGTTTTGCACACACTTTCTAAAGCTTTGTCACTGGTCCTGACCAAGGAAAATAAACTATTCCTTCCCCCATCTCTTCAGGGTACAGCAGGTATGTAAATAACTTGGTAATGTCTAATACAAAATTCACATGTATATTTTTCCATATATTCTGAAAAACACAGAATAATCTGCAGGTTTTCCATTCTTTGTAGCAGCTCTCAGGGAAAGAGATAAGATTTAGCAACTGGGATGTTAAAGGAACAGATCCACAAGGTGAAAGAGCCAGTTTGGAACTGGTGAGGAAAGAGTAAAATCTGAATTCCCAACTCTTTTTCTTTTCACAGCTGTTAAGAGTTCAGTGGGTTGAACTGCAATCCTTCAAGTTCATCTGTTGACTCCAACACAAAACTATTATAAACTGTGCCTCTAAAACACGTGATGAAACATTTCTTGAGAGCTATTTATTCCAACTGCAGCAGAGGAAAGTTTTCAGAACACCCWGCATTTGGTGGAGGAAAGGTCTCTTGAGCTTTGCAAAAGGAGGAATTATTTGCATACCAGAGTAAGTTGCTTTTTGATTATTTTTTTCCTGCATCACTGAACAAAATAGTACTTCTAACTTTTCCCCACCACAGAAACATGATAAAGTAGCACAAAACTATGTTTAAGTGACTAGCAGAGTATTTCTATATTGTTTTCTTTCTTTAATCATGTGGGTTGGGGGTTTTATATTTCAGCCTAGAACTCAAGATAATTTGACATTACGTGTTTTCTTTCCTTCAATGTTTTCTGTGTCTGAATAAGAGTTCATTCACTTACAACAGTAATGCAGGGGCAGAATGGACTGAGAGCTTCAATCAGGTGTGGGGTTTGCAAGTTTACAATTAGTGAGGAWGAGTCTGGGGTGACCTTTTTCCAGATGTTTCCTTTACACCTTTGCTCCGTGTGTTGATCTTACCTATGCATTTACATTCTCCTCCAGGCTTTAGCTGTGGTAAAACACTTTCCATGCTGAAGATGGACCATGCAAACGTGACCCAAGCTATGCTCGACGCTGAATCCCCCAGCACGGAGAAGAACAACAGCAAYGAGTATTTTTACATTCTGATCGTCATGTCTTTCTACGGGATCTTCCTGATAGGAATAATGCTTGGCTACATGAAATCCAAAAGGAAAGAGAAGCCATCYAATCTGCTCCTGCTCTACAAAGACGAGGAGAGAGAGTGGGGGGAAGCTGTGAAGCCGCTGCCCACGGTGGCGGGGCTGAGGTCTGTGCAGCTGCCCATGATGCTGAACATGCTGCAGGAGAGCATGGTGCCCTCCCTGTCCTGTGCCATCTGCTCCATGGAAGGCAGCAGCGTCAGCTCCGAGTCCTCGTCCCCAGACGTGCACTTCACCATCCAGGAGGAAGTGCTGGATACCGAACTGGGGGAAGTGTCAGAAACGCCCCTCAACGAGAGCAGCGAGGGCTCCGTGGAAAACATCCACAAGAACTCCTAGCACTTGCAGGGCTCCCTTCATCAGCTGCAAAAGCGTGAGTGGAGCTCCCACCAAGAACTCGTGGCTCTGCTTTTCTGCTCTCCAATGGACTCTGAACAGGTATCTGTGCTCCTGGGCCCACGGGGTTCCTGAGAGCTAGCAGGACAAGGAAGCGATGGTCCCCAACTTCAAAGTGTAACTTGCACATAATTGGGTTGCTTAATTTTAATTTTYCCATTATTATTTCTTACTCTGAAAGCTAAGGACACGGTGAATATATTTGTATTTTATAACGAGGTCATTATTGCTGGCATGTCTCTGCATATTTCAGAATTCTGTAAATGTCTGGGAAACGTTTGGGGAAGTTGCCCTCACTCAAGTGCCTGGTTCTCAAAGATGATGGGCGATACTCATTCACACAAAGCTGTGATAGACTAGAAATGCTCTCRCTGTGTTTTCCTTATAACCCACAGCCAACAGCACATTTGCTCAATGAGGCCTCGAAAGCTGAGCTTGGAGGGAGATTGCAGCCTGGTTGGAGGCTGACTTTAGGTACAGAATGAATGAAAGACAAAGCAGAAAAAAGGAGGCAGCGAGCTCCTGTGTGGTTTGTAAATCCCCGTTTCAGACCCATGACACTTTTCTGTGTGTTTGCTGAAGTTATACCTGTGATGGCTGGGTCAGTTCACACCTCCTGCTGCAATCCATCCTCTGACTGAGTTACTAACAGGAAAAGTGATTCAGTTTTGTGGTTTTTTATTGCTTAAAGACGTGCACATTTGGTCGCTAAAGGCAAAGATCTGTCGGTTAAAGGAGATGTTAAAAGATCTTTGTGCCAGGCTGTAAGGGCTGTAGAAAGGCTTGAACAGATGCTGCTCTGTTACGCCCCCTTGAAAAACAGGCGGAATTCTGAATGGAATTCAACCTAGCAAGGGTGAATTCCTGGCCCCACTGAAATCATCAGCTGAGGCAGGGACGGGCACAAGATTTTCTGCTTCTCTGTTGGAGTTCAATTCCCCATTTGAGATCAGTAAAATTGTACCCATTTACATCACCAAAGAAGCCAGACTTTCTGCTCTATTTAAGCCGGTGTAGGTAAACASTGTGTTGCATCTTTTGTTTTTAATCAGCTTGCACGCAACACATGCATTTCTATAAAGCTATTAGTAACTAGTTTTTAAAACCCTCACAGGCTTCCCCCTTCCCCCCAGTTTAATGGTACTGTGACATTTTTCAAATGCTCATGGAATTTGTTGCTAAATTATTGCACTTTTAAAAAAGTAAAAATTAGTAAAAGTAAGAAAATTAATATTTCAGTCATATCTTATATGTTATAATAACTTATTACAGTGTTTTGATTAGTTTTGAAGCATGAGGGCTGAGGAGCCTGAATCTAAAGCGTTGCACAGCAAAATATTTGCAAAATGTCTCCATGTATTTCCTGCACTAAAATAGCTCTGTGATTTATCCACTGGCATTAGAGCTTGAGAGACAGCTTGAAAAAATGTGAATGCTGCACACAGAAAGGAGCTGAGGCCAGAGTCTGCTGCTGTGCTGCCTTTGGGGAGGGCTCAGAGGGTTAATGGGATGTGGAGATCAGGGATCGCTGTCCCTCTGTAACCACAGCAGAACAAAGGCTCCATTGTGCTCGGAAAGGGCCCGCTTGGGGCAGACTGGAGGCACTGGGAGTTTTTCCATCGACTTCACTGAACTTTGGATCAGACCATATAAAGCTTTTTGGTAGATTTACTCTAAAAGGGGCTGTTTTAAGTTTGAAAGGAGCCAAATTAAGTTTGGCACTTTGCCTGGAATCACTTGAATCCTGAAACTTTCCAAATGAGACTGACATGCGCAAGTTGTCACATTTTCCATTGCTTTCTCCTTCGTCCTTTACTTTTGGTATAAATGTATTTGTATCTGTAAAAAGCTGATGTATATAATTCCTAACATCGAGTTGTATATAATTGTCTCATGTATTTAAAGTTTATTGTTTCTACTGGCACTAATTTTATTTAAATAAAGAAACACATTTCCTGGAAAATTCTCCATGTTTGTTCGCTACGTCAAATAGATTTCCAGTAACGAGACYGGGCACAATTCCTGCAGGATCCTTTTCTTAGCCTCTTTTTGCCATGATTCCTTGTGCTTTRCAGTACTGCAGCATTGTGGGCTGACTGTAGGGCTGAGCCAGGWGCTCAAATCCTCTTTTGGTCCATGTTGGCTGTTTGGGCAGCACGCTCAGGTCTGAGTGTGTGAGAGCAAGGCCACAGGGATACCGCTCTGCAAAGACCTTGGGGAGTTGGCAAAATGGGAATGGGAACTTGTATTGCTTATTCAGCCTCTGGACATGTTTGAATTTTGAGTTTTTGGGGTCAGATTTGCATTGTAGGATGTTGTGTGGGCTTGGGTTGAGGTTATGGACAAGTACCCGGCACAGATCTCTGACCCCATGGATTTCCACTGCTTGGCCATGGCACCCAGCTGGCTTTGGCACCAGCTTTGATCCTCACTGCTGCTCTGACATTCCCTATATTCCAAGGAGGAGAGCTTTTCAGAATCTGGCTCCCAATATAGAGATTAAATGTTTAGAGGCAACTTTGTACTTGCCTAAATCAAATCTGTTCTGTGTACAGATCCACCAGCTCGGGTTTAGACCTGCTTGCACAGGGTAATTGGAGGTTCAGAAATCAGATTTCTATAAAGCTGCATCTGCTCTCTTTCCCACAAAAGCTGCTCCCCTGCGCTCTGCTCCCTTCACTCAGTCCCYATTAAACAATTCTGGGAGCTGGTGACAGGTTTCTGTGGACCCCCATCAGCGAGGCTGAGCTTCCTGCAGCAGGACAATCCCATGGGACAGCGGTGTCCTGGAATAGCCGGTCAGTCAGTCAGAGCTGCACTGTCCACACTCACCCACGCCACCGCCTCTGACAACAATGAAACAGGAACTTCTGACAGYGCTGCCCATCAGGAGGAAAAGCAGAGCAAAATGGAAATTACAGCTCTGCTTCATGGATCAAAAAGGTAGCTTGTTCCAGGAGTTTCTTGTATTAAATTGGGCTGTTGTAAAGGGAAACACCGTGTGCTTTTGGGTTCTATTYACACTGAAATGAGCTACTAAACACAAAATGTGGCACCTTTTTGCACACTGTGATGGAGCTGTCCTCGGGTTGTGGGGTTTGAGAAAGCATGTGGGTAGTTTTGAATGTGTTTGCCTTCGTCTTAAGGCATTAGTCTTTGTCCAAATCAGCGTTCTGATGGCACCAGGGGGAAAAAAAGAAAATAAGCAAAAATCTATTTTAGCTATAAATGTTAGATTCATGTGCAGGTGAATGCAATGACGTCTTGAAGACAGCCCTGTGACCCTAGACTGCCAGGTAGCTATTATTCCAAAATAAGAGTTGCTAACCATCMAAAGCTACAGATAGAAGGAAAAAAAATTGCTTCCATTAATCATATTTCAAAATCCTTTCGACTACTAAGGAGTAAAAGGTAATATTTATTTTCAAAAAATGAATGCCGTTTCCAGTGTGCTTCAGTAACTGAATTAAGGCAGATTCAGRGCTAATAAATCTTGGCCTGAAGGCCATGATAATTGACTGTAATTTGACTGAATGRAGGGGATYTTTTTTTACAGATGCGTTCTTCCTTAGAAGAACACAGCAATGAGGCTGCCATTTCTTGGCAGTGCTGTACCTCACACATTTGCTGCTGTAGTCAACACATCCTCGGTCTGGGAGAAAAGGAGAGATAACCACATGTGGTAGGCAACCAGAGAAGGAGGTTCAGTGGCAGAATCCACTTTTCCAGGACCAGAGGACCACTCACAGATCACTGTAAGGCCGGCAAAGTTGGACCATGGTCTCCTGTGGTTGTTGATCTACCATGGCCATGTTATAATCTTTTTGGAACTTCTTGTCCTAGCRGGAAGACAATTTCTTCCTAAGTTAACAGTTGGATCTAGAAGAGGCATAAAAGTTAGTAAAATTGTTTTCATGCACTGGTCATATTTTCCTCTGTGTATTTGGTTGATTTACTTTTGTATTTTTTCCATTTTCACACGCCTCTGCAGTTCCTACTGAGCACAGCCAAAAATAGCTGCAAGATGAGCCACCTTCTCAGTGCAGTGACACTTCTGGAACCAGCTCACCTAGGCAAGAAAATGGAAAATAAYCAAAAAATCAATGTTCACCAGTTTTCCAAGGTTTAATTTTGTTTTGTTTGGTTTGGGTAGGGTTCTAGTTTGTGTTAGGCCAGATTAGACTGAGGCATTTGCCACAAAAATGAGTGACTAAAAGAAGGATAGTAATGGCAATTGGATGGTGCATAACAAATTGTGTTCCCAGATCTCTCTCTCAGTAATCCATCCTGTGCTTCTCTTGATTATCAGATGAAGCCATTTACATTGCTGCCTGTGAAAATAAGAGATGTTTCTGAGAGACATGAAATGCTTGTGAATTTTAGATGTAAGATATAAATACAAAGCCCTTGCCCTTGCAGGAGCAGCAAACTTTTATTTTGCCCTCTTTAATGCTACTGGATGCAACAGTAGCCACTGGCAACACATGAGGATTCCCAGCACATGGAATATCACAGGGCAGCTCATCCCTCCTCAGGGCACAGAGGCCATGTAACAGGACTTTGTGCTTCCTTGAGAGCTGGAGAGCAGGGCAGCAGTTCTGGGATGTGGGACACTAAATTCAGTTCCCCCTTCAGTTCCAGGTTCACTGTGGTACTCTGGAAAATTTCTTCCTTTGGCTACAACTCCCATTTACAAACTACAGAAGAGCACACCTTCACTGCCTGAGGCTGATGTGAAGATAACTACGCTGAGAATTTCAGAGTGCTGTGCTGTGATGGAAAGTGAGAAAAGACAGGAGTTGTTTTGCGTCAAAGAAGGAGCCACAAAATGAAAGAACTTCTTCTGGAGTGAWCTCAGCTGTTTAGATGGAGCTGCCCTGAGATTCCTCCTGGCCCTACAGCTCACCTGTGAGTGCTGGAATGGAGCAGCCTGCTGTAGGGCTGGTCCCCAGCCCAGCCCTCCCTGGGACAGCTGTGTCCCATCCCAGAGATGCAAACATCAGCTGCAGGAGGATGTGAGACACGTGAATGGTTCTGAATTCTGCCCTGGCCAATGCACAAAAACTCAGCCTTTCTTCTCCTCAGGAGGAAATATAAACTGTGCACCTCCAAGGATGTATAAACCCCTTCCCTCCCTCAGAACAAGGTAAACTGATCAAACAGTCTCCTGCAAGAGACCAGAGAGGAAGAGAAAAAACAGTGCTGCTACTATTTTTGATCAGGTACAGAGTGACACAGCAGCACACAGACTGATCTTGAACGTAGCACAGGAGAGCCCCAGTGCTGCCTCTTTCAAGGCCTTGATGGAAAACCCATCACATCATTTTCCTCACAAATACCTGACCCTRCACAGTGACCCACTGCAATTGCTGATCCTGTCAGCAGCAGCAGCCACTGAGTGTCAGTAATGGCTTTCCAGCCTGCCAGCACCCTGCTGCTGCTGCCCTGGGAAACAGGAGCCCTCCTGAATTGTAGGAGCACAGAGCAGTGCTGGGACTGCTGAAAGCCTGAGCACCACCGGGGCATTTCTCCAGATGTGACTTTCCTCACTGCACGAGAGCCCTATGGAAATTCGGGGGATGTGCATCCATGTGTGTTAATCTCCATCAGCTGCCCAGGATTTTACAGCAAAGGATGCTGTTGGTGAGAAGGACAAGTGTTATCTGAGAAATGACCCTGAGGCCAGTGGGTGATGTGATGGCAGCACCCACCCACAGCTGCTGAGGAGCTGCTCCCTGTRCCTGTACCGAAGGAAACAGCAGCA